TTACATATTGACGGAACACCACATTAATTATTTAGTTCTCTCTCGTTTAGGTACTCAACAATATTCAATGTTGTTTAGCATGGCAAGGGGTGAAGCAAAACAAAACTACCTATCTAGGCAAGTTTAAATGAGGCCGGAAACAACGAACAACAATTCCGCTAAATCCCCATATGCATATTTTAGATTTGGTGCTGTTCTGTCCTAAACCATATTTTAGAGTTGTTAAACATGCAAAGCAATGTCACCATGTTAAACTAGGCAAAATTCTACCCCATTTACATATAAAGTTTATTAAATTCGGAGTTACGGTTATTTAGTTATGAATTAAAGCATTTAAGCATGACATAGGAGCAAATTTAAACAAACAGCCTTTTAAACATTTTGAACATGGATGAAAGTTGGATATTATGAATCTAGACAAAATTCTAAGCAAGTTTCATATATAAAACATTTTAATCCGATGCACAGTTGTGAAGTTATTAAATGCATGAAGAATAGGGACTTTCCTGTAAAACAGTCATCTCTGGAATAATAGACAAATTCGCAGTGCACAGAAAAAAACAGCTATGGGCTGAATCTAAGAAGAACTGGGCTGCACACCGCGGGCCTTAGCAGGCCGGCTGGCCTAGTGGATCTGGTGCGGCTGCTAGGTCTGCGCGGATGGGCCAAGGGTAGGTTGGGCCTTGGTCAACGCGACCACGAAGCAGGGGATGCAGGGGATCGAACCGTTGTTCAGCTCGAGCCTGAGCAGGGCAATGGTGGTAGCGGCGGCTTGGCAAGGCGGGTCGCCGGGGGGTCGAGGAGGCAAGGAGGAGGCTGAGGCCGAGCTCCAGTGGCCGGATCTAGAGCTGACTCTCCGTTCCTGGCGTCAGCGGCAAACTCCGGCGGCACCATGGCATCCTGCAGAACGGGAGGGAGAGAGAGATGAGCTCGGTAGCCAGGGAGAAGAAGGACGGCGAGGTCGGGGCTCACCATGGCGGCGGTGGTCACCGGCGGGAGGCCAGGCGGCGGAGACGGCAGGAACACGAGGGAGGGGATCGGGGCTCTCCCGATCCGGATCGGAGGCGGCGGCGCGCATGCTGGAGCAGGCAAGGGATCCCGGGCGGTGGCGGCTCGGGCCCATCTCGGCCCGGGATGGGCTGCGGATGGGCCTGGCAGGGCCACGACGGTGGGAGGAGGTGGTTGGGCGACGTGGCACCACGGGAGAGGTGGGGAGCGCCTGACCCACGGCGGCTGGCCAGTTGAGCGGCGCCAAGTGGCACTTGAGGGGTTGGCCGGCGCCGGAATTCGAGGAGAGGAGGTGGGAGGCGGCTGGAAGATGATTGGGGGCATAGAAATTTAGGAGGAGGGGCAGGTAGCTACCCAAAATGGAAGGGGAGAAGGTTTATATAGGGCAGGTTCTAGGGTTAGGGGGGTTTAGGGGGGTTTCGGACCCTCCGATCGCGATCCGATGGCTCCGGTCACGAGGATGGAGTAGGTGGGCTGCAGGATGAGTGGAAGTGGGCTGTGTAGACGGTCTCGAACTGAGAGAAGAGAAGAGAGGGAGGCCCGGCGACTGTTTCCGGAGACCGAAAACGTCCGACGTTAGACCGGCTACTATTGCCGCTATATTTATTCGTTGGGGCGTCAAACGAACTCCGATTGCGATGAAACTTGGCAGGCGGTTTACCTACACTATAACAAGACCGCACGCCAACTCTCATCCCATTCCGAGAACATTTTTCAGCCACTTATAAAATAATATTTCGGACATGTCGCGGGCGCGTGCAAGTGTGTCTGGGCTCAGAACGGACGACGGACGAAACTGGGGAACCCGGACGGATGCAAGTTTTTAAAACATGATGATGCAATGCACATGATGACATGGCAAGATGCAACACAGCAACGACAACAAATAACTGGAAGACACCTGGCGCAACGGTCTCGGGGCGTCACACCCCGGCCGTCATTGCCTGACCAATGCGGAAGCATGATTCTCTGTAGGGAGGGCCATGCTGCCTCACGTGAAAGTGAAAGCCCAACCTGAACTGGCCTGGCGGACATGACAGGTAAGAACACTGATGGAGAGATTTAATTTTGTTTGGTTAGGTATTGTGTGTTCGTTGGATGATAGGGTGCCTTGATCATTCAAGTTGGATGGCACGAGATTGACTCGCATAGGATCGTAGTCAATGGTACGTACCGAAGTGCTACCAATCTGGCCCAAGTTGTTGCATCAAGGTGAGATGATCACCCTGTTTAGTGCTCCTGCTCACTTCACAATGTTTTGTCGTGAAAGCTCAGTCCTGGATAATTAAATCTTTTCATGTACATTCCTTCAGGCGGTGGATGGGGCACGCACCTCCTCGGACCATTACTTCCCCAGGTAATCCCGTGCGACGAGCACGTCTATACCCTCCAAGCGGCTACTGCCGCACCCTCTCCAGTGGAGGCGGCAAAGTTGTGAGCGTGTTCTATAGCTCAGGGCTGCACCATGGACAACTTGATCGTCGCTCTCACGGCCACCGCCGCAGACTTTGTGGTAGGCCTGCTTATCCTCGCCGAGCATTGTAGGTCGAGATGACACACATAATGGTATGCAAAATGTGTAGGCATAATTTAACAAGTTTGTTGAAACATGTACCACTTTCTTTAGTAAAAGTATTAGATGTCCTGAATAAGCTCTAATATGTCACCATGATTGTTCTCATTTGTTAAACAACGGGGAAAAGTTCTTTCAAATAATTTACTTATTTTCAGATTTTTCTCCTCATGCATTTTTGCTAGCACGCTGGTGATGTTGAGTGATCCTTTTCCATATGATTGTGCATAGTATGTAATTTTTTTCAGAAATATTCTTTCGAGGGATTTTATTGTGCCACGAGTAAATACAATCTCAGGTTCTCATGTACTGCCAAACTATCATTCACAAGAATTTATTATATTGTTATCAGCTATGATTTATGCTATTTTTTAACATTTCGTAAAATGCAAGACTGTATTATTATTTGTTGGTTAAATTTTCATATTATATATTTGCATATGTGCACAGTTACTCAGTTAACATGATATGTATAGGAGAATCAGGTGGGACTACATTATTAATAATCATTATAGGTCTTAGCTCGATTTATAGGTCTTAGCTCGATTTATAGGTCTTAGCTCGATTTAAAGGTTGTAATTTTGTTACTCTGATGCAAATGCACATGCCTTTTTGCTCACTGGAAGAGCAGGAAAAGGTGAAACTTGAGAAGGATCTGACACATGCATTGATTCATATTTTACCAATGACGCTTTAGTGTTTCTCTTGTCTAAGTACAAGGAGAGATCCCATTCTGCCAGCTTCAGTTGCTAATTCATCACTGTTTTGTAAATATTATTTGCAAATCTACATTCTCTAAGGGGTAGCAACGCATGGTTGGAATCTTCCATGTTGTGGAGTTTTAAAAATCACAATGGCAATGGTTTCAATAGAAATGAGTTGAACTTCCAGTGTGTTTGATTTGCCAAAGGCCAACAAATGCTATCAATCTAGCCCCACTTCAATAAGAAACGCTAAAGTTTGTATGTCCGGTAAGCACTATTTTTTTCCTAGTAAGCACTTTTTTTGTGGTTGATTTAAGGGTCCAAAAATCAGAATTATTTAAGAATCATGAAATTGGTGTTGTTGTGAATGAATTTCCCATGAATGAGTTATTGGTTTGCCATTTTAGTGTATGAACATGACTAGGATAGCGATATTTTGTCAAGTCCATTATTTATAGCCATTTAATGTGTTTTTGTGTAATAATATATTAGTTGCAAGCATGTGTGATGTGAAGCAGGCATGATGGGACATGTGCAGAGCGAGTGAGAGTATGAGACACGGTGTATGAAGCATGTGCGAAGAGGGACCCACAGAGGGCGGCCATCATCTCCCGCTCGAGAGATAGGTTTAAACATCCCCTTTCCCTACCAGGGTTCAGCGACAAATATGTCGTGAGGTGGTCAAGCTCATCCCTTGACATTGACAATGTCTAGACATGATGTGACTAGATGGACAACTCAGTCATGATCGGCGAAGGCCAGAAAGAGGATAGGCGGTGACACGTGTAGGATGCTTTGTTCAAATAGAGGTCATGGAATGAGAGCAGAGATGTGTCCTAAAGTCATGCCTATTAGACTAGGGCCTATACAATTTAGTTTTTCTCCCATTGCAACACACGGGCAGAAATAAAACTAAACAACACACAACCTAAGGGTGATAAGTGACCCCACAATCTCCGAAAACACTTATATAAATGGTTAGTTTAAATAAAAGATGTTCAAAGGATTTTAAAAATATTGCAAAATTAAAAAAACGTGAATTTTAGAAAATATTCCCAAATTTAAAATATATTTATGGATTTCAAAAATTATTTGCAGATTAAATAAATTTTAAAATTTAGAAAATGTAATCTTTTTCACGTGGTGTTTACCAGTTTCCATTAAATATTCCATGTCATAATCTCCCCCCAACAACATGGAATATGTTCCATTATGTTGGTTTCAGTGCTAAGAGTGTCGCTCTAGTCCCTGGCTGATAGAAATCATTAATGTTGCAAGAACAAAAAACTCCATTGTCTTCAATGAACCCCCAGGAGTAAGGTTTTTCTAAAAATGTCCCGTGAAATATTTTTTGTAAGCTTCAAAAGTGTATTCTACAGTTTTCTTAGGAACAGGTTTGGTTAAAGTTTCAAGAGGACTATTTGGATGATAAAAAATCAATTTCCAAGTTACTAATAATTTGAATTTTCCACAATTTGACAACGTATATCACCCTTTCTCCACAAACATCGTTATAGAAGGATAGACTCTCACTGCTTGGTCGTCAAATACCATGCCAACCAATGACCTCATTCTCTCAGAAAAGCATCACATTTCAACACGCCAATTATGCTTTGAACACCCTTTCAAGATTCTGTAGATGCATCAAAAGCATCCGGCTATAATACTACAAGTACAAAACAGAACTCAAAATTGCTGTGCACGTCAAAATCAACTCAAACCCCAAGCGAATTCTGCTTCTTCGCGGTATTCATGTATGGCCGTAGCACAAACTCGTTCTGTGCTTCGCTTTGGTCCACAGTTCCTCGTTTGATCTGTCCCGGCAAAACAGCAAGCTTATGTCAGCACAAGACATACGAAAAGCATCGAACAGAGCGGCAATAGCCAGATACGGAGGCATTTCTTCACCTGATAGAGTCGCAACTCAAAACGGGGCCCAACCTCCTTCAGGTCAATGGATTTGGGGCCACCATGTTTTTCATAGATGTGATGCCTGCCATAATCAGAGAAACAAAAGGAAGATTACATCAGAACATCGAGTGACAGATGATGTGTTTTCATGGAAACAAAATCCAGACATGTTGAAAGACTATATTTTCTGGACTTTTGAGACAAAGACTCAATACAGCTAGCTTTGTTGTGTGAATATATTCTATGCGACTGCTGACATCAACAAAAACCAACAAGGATGATAAACAAAGTAAGATGGTAACCTGAAAGAGATATAGTCATCTCTATTGGCAAAAGTGATTAGACGCTTTGACTCCGGCTTCGGCACAGGAAAGAGATGCTTCATTATATTGGCAGTCCTTTCACCAGTCTGCAACAATTCAACCAAATCAAACAAAGATAAGTTTCATTTCCAAAATAAATAAAGCACAAACACAAAGATAGCAAAGAAAACTGTGCATTATAAAATTCCCATGAACTTTAACGAGAGCTTGTCTACTTGCAATACTCCCACTGTTTCTAAATATAAGACGTTTTGGCAGTTCAAGAGGTAGTAGTAACCACGGATGCATATCCAAGAATGCCAGTGGCCTAAATCTCTTTTAGAACCAAACAACCCGAGGAGAAAAGGTGGAAAATTTACAAGTGCCTAACCAAATACTCAAGCGAAACTCACAAAAATGAACTTCAAGCCAAATATGCAAAAGTAGAAGTGGAGGTGCTCAGTTTAATAATTTTGAATGGTTTGAGTTTGTCTTCACTAGTAAGCACATATATCAGGTTAACGAGAAAAACATCACCGCAGCCTCCAAATTTAGTAACAGACTAAGATAAAAACAGAAAACAAAATAATTCTTTTTCCCTAAGCAACAGTAGAAATGGTGGCGCTCAGTTTAATAGTATTGAATGGTTTGAGTTTGTCTTCATTAGTAAGCAAATCTCAGGTTAACGAGAAAAACATCACCGCTGCCACCAGATTTTGTAACAAATTTAGATTAGAAACAGGGAGGCAACAGAGCAAAAAGGTGATGTTAATGAGAAACACATCACCAAAACTTTAGATCAGAAACAGGGTGAGGTCAAAAACAGAAAAGGGCCAGAGCAAAATAAAAAATTTCCCCTAAGCAACAGTAGAAATGGTGGCGTTCAGTTCAATAGTTATGAATGGTTTGAGTTTGTCTTCATTAGTAAGCAAATCTCAGTTTAACGAGAAAAACATCACCACAGCCACCAGATTTTGTAACAAACTTAGATCAGAAACAGGGAAGCAACAAAGCAAAAAGGTGAGGTCAACAAGAAACACATCACAACACCCTCTATATTTTGTTAAAAAAAATCAGAAACAGACAAGGAACATAGCAAAAAAGACTTCTTTTCTGAGTAGAAGTGGAGGCACTCAGTTTAATAATTTTGAATGGTTTAGTTCATCTTCATTAGTGAGAACATCTCAGGTTAACGAGAAAAACATCACTGTAGCCTCCAAATTCCATTACAAATTTAGATCAGAGACAGGAAAAGAACATGGGAAAAATAAGTTCTTTTCTAAGCAAGAGTTGTAAATGGAGGCGCTCAGTTTAATAGTTTTGAATGGTTTGAGTTTGTCTTCATTAGTAAGTACATCTCAGGTTAACGAGAAAAACATCATAGCAGCCTCCAAATTTCATACAAATTTCGATCTGAAACAGAAACAGAACAGAAAAAAAGATTCTAACCCTCATCCTATTACATACTATCAAGATAACCAAGGCTGCTGAGATGTATAATTTTGAATGGATAGAAATTATCGTCATGGTTGGTCTCAGGTTAACAAGAAGACCATCATTGCAGCCAGGCAACTAACCAGTGTAGGAAGCACAAAATTTGTTCGAGGTAAAATAAGCAAACAGGTACCAAAGCTGCTCAGTAAATAGTTTTGAATGGATATGTTATCCTCATAGTAGGTCTCAGGTTAACGAGAAGTCCATCATTGCAGCCATCAAGCCGGACAACAAACATTGTCTGAGGAAAATGAGCAAACAAACTACTAACTGAAGCGTGGAAAATTCTTAAAAATGATACCAAAGCTGCTCCATTTACATAGTTCTGAATGGACATATTATCCTCATAGTGTGTCTCAGGCTAACAAGAAAACCATCATTGCAGCCAACAAAGATAATAAGCAAAGCTATTTTTAGTGTGAACTTTTGTGCACACAACAAAACAACAGTAGCAACAAAGCACATGAGCATACAGCAGCCAAGACAACATATATTCTAGGCAGCATAAGAGCCACTGGAACTGGAGGTGCTCAGAATCAGATGAACAATCATGAAATCATCATCAATTTCATCATAATAAATAGCATATGTATGTGATAATATAAGCATTATCACAAATTTTGTTCTTGAACGTATGTATGTATCTATGCATGAGCAAACACACACACACACACACAGAGAGAGAGAGAGTCCTTGCTTAATTAGATAAGCCAGAATCATCACAGCAGGCTCAAGTTCCAGTGTGAGTATATATGCATGTGTGAATGGACTACTGATAAATGATAGGTCTAGAGAAACCAAGAAACCAAAAAATAAAAGCATTACGGAATACTGCGGGATGTTCATCCTAATTCTTTAACACAGATACCGAAATGCTAACACAAAACTATTTTACAAGCCACACAAGGTGGAACAATTACAATGAAAAACATAGATAAAGCATGAGTGACATTGTTAATTGTTGTCTGCATGCATGAAATGAACATGGAACATTTAACAGGTGAGACATATTAGAATAAAGTGACTCAGGATTCAAGTATGTAATACCTTGGTTGTGAAATTGTCCAGTATCAAATGAGGGTAAGCTTCTGACATTTTGCCCATGGCCTTCCTATCTTTGATATCATGCCGTGTTACCTGCCAAAGATGGAACCACGAGTTAACACCAAGAATGGTGTCCCATGTTGTACACTGCCCCAGCTCGTCATGAATAAAACAGATATTGGCACTTACCACATTGAGTAACCCAAAGTATGCAGTTGGACCTAATGGTAGATGACACACAATCAAACCATCAGGCTGACCACGATGCTCATGCACCAAAATAAGATCAGTTATCTCGTGTGATCGGCAGGACTCAACAATTTCTGATATCACCTACCGGGAAGAAAAAAATGGATCGATAAGAAACATTAGCCAAAACTCACAAATGATATGAGAGAAAAATTACAGTCCAAACAAACACTATCTAGCATGTTCACTTTTTAATCAATCAAATCTTATGTGAATGAAACCTAATCTGAAGTTGGTACACAAAGGATACACGAGATGGAATGCTTCCGTATCATACCTGACCACCACGGTTCATCCTCTGTGAGTTCGGAAATACAACTTTCAGCTCCTGGCAAAAGAACAAGATTGACCAGTCAGTAAGCACAGGATGCATCATTTTAACCTGTCAAAACACCTTCCAATTCACAGCACAAGCAAACCTTAACAAACTGAGTCAGGGGCGCACTCGGGTTACGAGATGTGGTCAAGAGAATCTTGGGCTCGCGCAGCGTGGCGCCGGCGTACTCGTCATCTATGATACTCCTCGGCACTGCCACCGACCAACCAACAAACCATGAAAAACGCAACAAAAAAAGTAAAGAAATGGGAAGGTGGGGGCGATGGATCCGACGAAACCTGCCCGGTCTTGGTCGTCGAGGTCGATCTCGCGGCGGAGGGCGAGCTCCTCGTTGCGAAGCTCGGTGGGGATAGGCTTGCCCTCCTCGAGCGCCTCCCGGACGCGGCGCTTCTTCTCGTAGTGCTGACGCTCCTTCCCCTCGAGGCTCTTCCGGTAGAGGTACTCCCGACGGAGCCGCGTGTTCCGACGCAGCATCTCGCCTCCCTCTCCCGACGGGACCAAGCAAAACCCTAGCTAGGCGCTTGATGAGTGGAAGCGATAAACCCTAGTAGCGACTTCAAAGCTTTGGCGGCGCAACGCGAGCTTGGACACGGAGTTGTGGAAGGAGAAGGGCTTGTTTTAAATAGCAACGCTTATGGGCTTCTATGGCCTCCCCAGACAGGCTTATGGGCTTCTATGGGCTTCTCCAGACCGATGATGATGATTATAGGCAGTACGTTTTTTTAGGGTGGAAAGGAGGAAGACCACAGATAATCTATCTACAAGAAGGTGCGCATAAATCTGTTTCCCTCTCGTTAGGGTTTTGCTTCTCCCGAAGGCGATCGCGCCGCCGTCGAGCACTTCACCTTCCCTCCTCCGGTTGCGGCCAGGCGGGCAGATTCGGGCTGATTAAGGGGTGATCTGGCATCACTTCTGAAAGGATCGATATGGTTGACTAGAGGGGGGGTGAATAGGCAACTAACAATTTTTAGCTTTTCTTTAACAATTTAAACTTTTCATCAAAGTAGGTTGTCTAGATATGCAACTAGGTAAGCAACCTATATGATGCAACAAGGATAGGAACACAAGCAAGCAAGATATATGAAACAAATAAGTTTGCACAAGTAAAGGCACGAGATAACCAAGAGTGAAGACGGTGGAGACGAGGATGTGTTGCCGAAGTTCCTTCCCTTTGAGAGGAAGTACGTCTCCGTTGGAGCGGTGTGGAGACACAATGCTCCCCAAGAAGCCACTAGGGTCACCGTATTCTCCTCACGCCCTCACACAATGCGAGATGCCGTGATTCCATTATTGGTTCCCTTGGAGGCGGCGACCGAACCTTTACAAACTAGGTTGGGGCAATCTCCACAACTCAATTGGAGGCTCCCAACGACACCACGAAGCTTCACCACAATGGACTATGGCTTCGCGGTGACCTGAACCGTCTAGGATGCACAAACACTCAAGAGTAACAAGATCCGCAAGGGATTAGTGGGGGGAATCAAATATCTCTTGGTGGAAGTGTAGATCGAGGCCTTCTCAATCATTCCCGAGCAAATCAACAAGTTTGGTCGGCTAGGGAGTGAGATCGGGCGAAAATGGAGCTTAGAGCAATAATGGAGCTTAGGGGTGGAAGAGATAAGTCAACGGGGAAGAAGGGGACCCCTTATATAGTGTGGGACAAGAATCCAACCGTTACCCACCAACCAGCCCGCGGCCAGCGGTACTACCGCGCCTGGCCAGCGGTACTACCGCAAGGCCGCGCGGTACTACTACTTGCAACCAAGCGGTACTACCGCACGGCTGTGTGGTACTACCATACCGACCCACGGTACTGCCGCAACCCCAGCGACAGTAAAGATAAACAGACGCGCAGGAGTTGGGGCGGTACTTCCGCACACGCGGTACTACCGCGCCCCCCATGCGGTACTACCGCAAGGCAAAAAAACCCAGCCAGGGGGAAAGGAACTTCCGTGCCTACTTCCTCAAAGAAACGGAAGTAGCAAAAACCCGACACAGTAGTACAGCCAAGGGGCGGTACTACTGCCTGGCTGCATAGCGCGGTACTACCGCTCGGCGAAAACGGTACTACCGCGGTAGGTGCGGATGTAAAAAATTACATCCGCCCCTACTACCGCAAAGGGGCGGCACTAGCCTGGTGGGCAGCGGTAGTGCGGCTCCAGGGGAGCGGTACTACCGTGGGCACCTGCGGTACTACCGCGGATGCCTACGGTACTACCGTTTTCCTGGGAGTTGTACTACCGCGACCAACCACAGCAGCCAGACAAGGGAGGCAAGAAAACGGAGGAAGCTCCAAGGAAAAAGGAGGGGACAAGAAGGAGACGTGTACGTGATGATTCCATCCAAACCTTTCCAACGCGGACCCCCTCTTAATAGTATGGCTTTCCTACGACTCAAATCCACCAAAAAGAAACGTAGAAAAGACGCCGTCTTCATCAGTCTTCGAGGGGCACCCAACCGTCTTGTGCCTAGCAATGAAATGTCTGGAATACTCAAGGCACACGATTAGTCCGCACATGCATTGTCATCAATCACCAAAACACTTAAGGATAAATATGCCCTTACAATCTCCCCCCTTTTGGTGGATTGATGACAATACGGGATTTGCACAAGGAAAATAATATTAAGTAAATGCAAACCCCTCCTCTCTAGAATATAGACGGGCTCCCCCTAGATGTGTGCCACCTAGATGAGTGCTTTGGACTGCACGGCACACGAATACTAGGATCAAAGCTCCCCCTATATTATAGAGACAAGACATATCTATCACTAGACAAGATAACACAAACATAAGTTAACTACGATAGATAAAGTGCATATGTCTTACACCATATGAGGAAAGGTCTCGAAAGCACAACCCAAATAAGAGCAAACAAGCACAAACGAGGTACAAAAGACAAAGCAAATAAACGCACCAAGCATGATACAACGCAAATCCCTACACTCTCTCCCCCTTTGGCATCGAGACGCCAAAAAAGCAGAGAGGACATCTACACACACGGGGTGGCTCAGGCAGAGAAGTCGTCCCACTGCTCCTCGTGCTCCTCGTCAGACTCAACGGCAGGGATAGTCTCCTCGAAGTCATCCTCTAAACTGGTCCACTTGTATCCCTGCTTTGACATCCAGACAGCCTCGGGTGTGATGACGTCCTCAGACCCGCCAGACACATCCTCTCCAAAGAGCCTCATAACCTTGTTGTCACGGCAGCGACTCTCTTTGTCTGCCATGTGAGCCCTGTACTGTCCCTTTGCCTGCATGCAGAAGAGAGTCTTCATCTTGTCCTTTAGCTTCTTGGCCCATGACGGCTCAGAGGAAGGAGTGGTGGACCTAGCAGCACGGTCCTCGGCAACATTCTCAGCAGCAGCCTCCTCCTCACCAGCAGCCCTCCTAGCAGAAGAGGTCTCAGCACGGGTAGTGGTGTTGGCCCAGTTGGGCTTGACGCGGAGGTTGATGGACTCATGGCGAATCCAGTCTTGCGAGTGAACACCGCAAATCGAAGCTCACACCACATGATGTGTGAGATATCAAGTGGCTGAGTCTGAGAAGAACGTGCCTCTGCACACAGGAGCAACATATCCACTAGATATGCATGGACCTTGTCCTTGTCGCCAATGCATGGGAACAGAGTGTTGCGGAAGATGCGATGCATGATATCCAGAAAGGAGTTTAACACCCAAGTTGACTTGCCATTGGGGAGCACCTTCTCAACAAGGAAAGGCTGAAGCAGGTTCTTGTTGGCAGACTCAGAGTTGGCATGGGGGCGAACGCCAACGGGGGTGTGAAGCCCGTCATCAGGAATGTGCAGCAGATCCATGAACTCTTTCCATGTAGCAGACAGCTGACGACCGTTGGTCATCCAGGTCATCCTTCGCTCCTCCCCGGGATGAAAGTACATTGAGGCAAAGAACTGATAGATGAGCTCAGGGTCATAGTCAAGGTGAAAGGAGATCACCGGCTCAATAGCAAACTGCTCCACCAAGTCCAGAGCCTCTCCAAAATAGTCACAAAACTTGTCCTTCCACATGTGATGCATGTCTATCCACTTGACATCCATGAAGGTATTCTGCTTGCTCTTGATCACATCCAGATAGATGAGAACCTGTTGCTTGTTCCAGAACATCTCGGTGCCTCTGAGCACAGCCCGAGGAGTCACATAGGGATTGATCCTCCGGCGTTCGACATACTTAGAGACAGAAATCTCGTCCATGCCCTTAGCAGGTTCCTTTTGCTTGCTGGCAGTGGTCTTGACATTGCGCTTGGGGGCATTGGAGCCCTCTGGGGCTTCATCTTGGGGGTTGTGCAGACGCTTGGAGCCAGTGTCACGACTGGGATTGGAACGACGAGAGCCACCACCTGAGACACAAAAACGCAAAACACCCACAACAACCAAGAGGGATTAATGCAAAGACCACAACCAAGCAAGAGAAACAAGCAGAAAGCACACATGATAAATTCCTAGAGAGAGATTTGATCCCTACGGTAGTACTGCCAAGTGATGTGAAGCTAAGATAGTAGTACTGCTCTCAGACGCGGTAGTACCATGCAAGGTCACGATAGTACCGGGTCTAGGAGCGGTAGTACGACCTTAGCGCCTCACCTAGTGCGGTAGTACTGTGTCTGCTGAGCGGTAGTACCGCACAAGCTAGCACGGTAGTACCACATCTGTCAGGCGGTAGTACGGCAAGAGCGGTAGTACCGCAGATCAGACACGGTAGTACCGCACCGCGTCAGATTTGAACGAGTTCAAATCTGAGAAAAGCCCGTGAAACCGCGGCGGTACTACGGTTGGACAAAGCTACCACAAGACAGCATGTCAAGTATGATTCCTACGCATCACGACTCTCCTACATCCTACTCTTGCATAGATTTGGCCTAAAATCTCAAGAACAACAAGTTTCTCCCCAAAAACCTAGAAGTAAGAGAACAACCAAGAAAAAGAGGGATTTGGGGAAAAACCTTGGTCCATGGCAAAAGGAAGTGGTGGGGAACGATCCCACCGGTCGAAATCCGAGGAGAGTGGCCGGAGACGGAGATCTGGCGAGGGCCTCCGGCGTCGTTCTTGAGCGAGCGAGCGAGAGAGAGAGAGAGAGAGAGAGAGAGAGAGAGAGAGAGACGTGGGGAGAGAGACAAATGAATGGGTATGGGGAGTTGAAACTCCCCTGCCCGAGTCATAACCCCCATGCTCCCTCGACGGCGCGGTAGTACCATGCCCCAACGCGGTAGTACCGCCTGGCGCAGTACTTCCGAAGTACCGCACCTGAGCGGTAGTACCGTGTTGTGGCGCGGTAGTATCGTGCCTCCCAAAGCGGTAGTACCGCGGTCAGCCGCAGTAGTACCGTGGGCTCAAGAAGATGCACGTTTTGAGCACACGAAAACCTGGGTCTTTACACAAACACTCCAAGTCAACACGACACCACAAGACCACGCAACACACAAAGCCAGAAAGGCACACGACAAACGAAACAACCACGAGA